GGAAAGATTGCTTTGTATTTTATTTACAACAGAATGTAAGAAAAAGTAAGTTATTAACAATAATAAATAACTGGGGGAGGGGCGAGGGAACATGACAACACAGCACAGCCACAGGATGACACGGAGGATGGCAAGGTGCTAGGATCTGCGTGGGTCTGCCTTGCCTGTGGTCGGTCAGGGTAGGGGCCCTCTAATGCTTGGTCCTTCCTCAGTGGCAGTGGTTTTGAGCTCAGCTCAAAACGTGAAACACTGAACTGACACATGAAGCTACGTCGGAATGGCTCAAAAATAACAGCAATGCTCAAAGCGCCTTTTCTCTTCTTGCTGATGACAAAGCAGCTCAAGATGACTCTCAGTTCAACAGTCAGAATTTCAAGGTGAAAGCATAAACAACAACAAAAAAGACAAACATCTCAAGACTTTCCTTTAAAGTCAGGGTTAACTTCACAATGACATTACAGCGAACAATGGCATCTGAAAAGTTCTCCACCTAGACACATTCCCTTTTTGCACTAACTCCTAGGAAGCTCACTCACCTGTCTATTTTCAAGGCAAACAGATTTCTTTTGGAAGGCAGAACACAGACAAACCCAATAGGTTTTGTCTCAGCATGCCAACGTGGTGCCAATGTGTGTAGTGCTTTAGTTTTTGCAAGAAGAATGAATGTGTAGATTTATGATGAGGTTATAGGTCACTGGCTGGATTTTCAATTCTTGAAGAACTACGGCTCAGATGGCAGATTGTCACCTTGCCTACTCATCTCACCAACAGAAAAATGCTAAAAGCATTTAGCCCGTCCCTCTCTCTCAGGTTGTCCGTTACATGCTTTATGTAGCATCAGATACACTCTGGCCCTTCTCAAAAACAAAATGACTTTTTTTTTTGTTGGTCGTGGGGCTTGAACTCTGGGCTTGGGCACTGTCCTTGGGCTCTTCAGCTCAAGGCAAGTGCTCTACCGCTTGAGCCACAGTGCCACTTCTGGTTTTCTAGTGGTTTATTGGAGATAAGAGTCTTATGGACTTTCCTGCCCAGGCTGGCCTTGAAGTGCAATTCTCAGATCTCAGTCTTCTGAGATCTGAGCTAGGATTACAGGCGTGAGCCACTGGTGCCCGGCAACTTTTTGTCAGTCTTGGGGCTTGAACTCAGGGCCAGGGCAGTGTTCCTGAGCTTCTTTTGCTCAAAATTAGCAATCTACCACTTGAGCCACAGCGCCACTTCCAGCTTTTTCTGTGTATGTGGTACTGAGGAATTGAACCCAGGGCTTCATGCATGCCAAGCAAGCACTCTATCACTAAGCCACCTTCCCAGCCCACAAAAGCAGTCAAGGATCTTGTCTCTGGGAACTAAAGAGATACTACAGAAAGGAGAATTTTAAAATATACATGAGGGGCTGGGAAGGTGGCTCAGTGGTAGAGCGCTTGCCTTGCATGCCTGAGGCCCTGGGTTCGATTCCTCAGCACCACATAAGCAAAAAGAAAAAAGCCAGAAGTGGTGCTGTGCCTCAAGTGGTAGAGTGCTAGCCTTGAGCTGAAGAGCTGAGGGACAGTGCCCAGACCCAGAGTTCAAGCCCCACGACCAGACCCCCCCCAAAAAAAATATATATATATACACATGACTACCTTAGCCCTGAAGGTCACAAAAAAATGCCTTATTCAGTTACTTCAGTATTTATTACAGTGCCTTCAAAAGAAAGCCACAGTTACTCAAAAGTAATTGGTGGATATTGTTGGGATTTTTTTTTGGGGGGGGGGGTTATGTTTTCATTATATCTTCACAACTAATCCCCACAGTCCAACAGGTGGCTAATAAATACCAGTAAACAGATTAAAACCATCTACCCCACTTGGAGCTACAAGACTGATAGAAGGGCTTGTAAATTAGTTCACTAATGAACTTACGTTTCAGTTCTAATGGAAGTATCCTCTTTCCTGCTTATCTTTTCCCTTTGTTTTTATCCTCTCGGGCTCAAAATAAAATATTTGGGGATGACTTCTAATAGTTTATGCCCTAAAAACTCTGAGCCATCCTTATCCTAGAAAAGCAGAGCCAAAGCCCCGATGTTGATATTTTATGTGAAAGCAGCATGGTCACATTTGAAATCCACACACAATAAGTAATTGTCTGTATGTCTGTGCGCTAGTTCTGGGGCTTGAACATAGAGCCTGGGTGCTGTATGTTAGCTTTTGTGTTCAAGGCTAGTGCTCTACCCCTTGAGCTACAGCTCCACTTCCAGCATTTTGGTGGCTCACGGGAGATAAAAGTCTCACGGACTTTCCTGACCCAGCTGGCTTTGAACTCTGATCCTCAGATTCCAGCCTCCTGAGTAGCTAGGATTCCAGGAGTGAACCTGTAAATAACCTAAGGATTATGTACTTTAATTTGGCTACTGGAGACTGATGGTATATGATGCATTTGACTACATTTATCTATATATGGCATATATATATATACAGCTATAATACAATTTGGTGAACCAAGTTCAAGGTTTCCACATGGCAAATGGAGGCACTGAGTTAAATTCGATTTTTTTTTTCCTCATACATGTTGAGCAAATTCAAATTTCGACTTTGTTGTTGTTGTTTGTTTTTCTTCTATATTTCCATCATGCAGCCATTGGATTTTCATCTCTAGGAAATTCTTCATGTTCTATACACATTCCTCACAGGCTTGTATCCCACAAGAACAAATTCATGGATGGAGAAAAGAAGATGATACTTGGAAAACCAAGACTGGTAAGATACTGAAGTCACTTGGCTGGATTAAATATTCAAAGCAGTTAAAGGAATAGCTGCACACCCCTTCCCCGTTTGCAGTGCACATAAAACACGTGAAGACTGGAAATCGGAACATTACTTCAAGAGAACACACACATTTGTTGATTAAGAATCACACTGTCAGGGGCGGCTTTGCAGTTGATGTCTATGGCATTGTACTTAAGAAACTTCACATAGGAAATCAGAGAATTGGCTTTCTTAAAGCATTATCAAATGGTTTGCCTTGATAGCAGAAAGCTACTTCATAAAAGGGAGCTTATCAGTGGAAAAGCCAGATGTGTTAACAACTGGCACAAAATAAAGTTGGGTGGGGAAAATCAGGAACCAACCTCACTCTTGATTCCAGCTTGCAAATGGTAGGAACACACACACACACACACACACACACACACACACACACACACACACACACACACACACACACACACACACACACACACACACACACACACACACACACACACACACACACACACACACACAAAATTTCCTTGTCTTCTGAAAGTACAGTTTTGCTTTCTAAAAGCCAAACATTCTCACTCAGCATGAAGACATCGTCCAAGGGGTCGGATAAAAAAGGTTAAGTTTTCCCACAAGCAAGTTTCATGCTTCCATTCCATGCAAACAAGAGTAAGACCATTCTGAAAGGGAAAGATGCTCTGTTGATTTAAGCTATTTGCAACTGCTTTCCTTGGAGTCCTGGGTCTATTTTTCAGTGAAATGTCCATTTCTGGATAAAGAAGTGATCTAGACATGCTGACCCCTTTAGTTTTGGGGGCTCCCGGGGCCAGTGCCTGCACCTTAGGAAAGTGGACAGACTGCAAGAGACTACACAGTGCAGGAATTGTGGGGGAGAGGCAGGCAGGTGTGGTCCACTGGCTGAGACCTGGGGAAAGGGGTGGGGCACACCTTGCCCTATTTTGTTTCTGAGTTTTGGGTTGATCCCTTTCCTGAGGTCGGAGGTTATGGTCAAGAAGGCTAGCTAGTGCATGGGTGTGGAAACTTCCCAATTACCGTGTTCTTTCCTTCTGCAAACACAAAGTCAAAGCTGAGATTGCTTGTCCCTCTCTTTTGTGTTTAAAGGCAGTGAGGTGCAAAGATGACAGAGTTCCCTCTTTAGACTGGAGCAGAATTTCAATTTCTCTCTCTCTCTCTCTTTCTCTATTGCCAATACTGGGACTTGAACTCAGGGCCTTATGCTTTCACTTGGCTTATCACTCAAAGCTGGTATATTACCACTTGAGCCATACCTCTCCTTTCATCTTTTTGGTGATTAATTGGAGATATAAGTCTCACAGACTTTCCTGTCAAGGCTGGCTTCAAACTGAGATCCTCGGACCTCAGCGTCCTGAATTGCTAGGATTATAGGCATGAGCCACTAGTGCCCAACTGAGAATATTTCTCTCTCTCTCTCTTGTCCTGGGGTTTGAACTCAGGGCCTGGGCACGTCCCTGAGCTTCTTTTGCTCAAGGCTAGCACTCTACCACTTGAGCTCCAGCACCTCTTCCAGTTTTTTTCTGTTTATGTGGTACTGAGGAATCGAACCTAGGGCTTCATGCATGCTAGGCAAGCATTCTACCACTAAGCCACATTCCCAGCCCTAAGAATTCTCTCTTTTTGCAATTTGGATGAGTAACTTGTCTCCTGTCAACCTTGGTTTGCATCTTGTATTCCTAACTACAGAAAAGAAAGACAAAAGGACCAATTCGACCACTCTTCTCTTTCACAAAGAGAAATCACCAATGCTGCTCATTCACTGTTTTCTCCTGGCAGTACTGACTCTATTTCTCTGAGATTCTCAACATTTGAATTTAGTTCCCCCCTTTTTTTTTTTCCCTAAAGTACTGGGGATTGAACCCAGGGCCTCAAACATGTTAAGCAAATGCTCTACCATTGAACTCCACCTCTTGCTTCCAATATTATGATTTCAAAAGAGAAACAAGAGAATGACAGTTTTCCTAAGACCTACAGTTGGGCCATCCATTTGGGTGAAGTCTACCAGAAGTAGTTACTAAGAGGAAAACCAGGAGAGAAATGGGTGAGGATTCTCTTTTTCACAGTTCACCCACCATAGTTCATTCCCATAGCTGTCAAGCCCAATTAGCTTATATCCAGGTGAACTTATTGAAATGGATACACAGACAATGAATTTTACTCAATGGTTTGGCAAACTCTAAAAAAATCTCCCTCCCCTTTTTTTGGTGCCAGTAATGGGGCTGAAATTTAGGGCCAGAGTGCTATCCTTTAGCTCAAGGCTGGTGCTCTACCACTTGAGCCACGCCTCCAATTTCAGCTTTTTTGCTAGATTAATTGGCGATCAGAGTCTCTCAGGAGTGGTCTGCTTGAGGTTGGCTTTGAACCATGATCCTCACAGCTCAGTCAGTCTTCTGAATAGTTAGGATTACAGGCATGAGCCACAATTGGCTCAGCTCAAATTCTGAGAATCTGATTGAAAACTGACAATTCAAGGTTTTTGGGTACCTGCAGAGAAGAAAGATGTTTAATCTCTCTTGGGCTTCTCATTCTTCAACTAAATCTCTAAATATCAGCCATGCCATTCTTCAGGATTTCAAAGGCCACAGGGGCTCAAGGGGTGTGGGGTGTTATGTTATTAAAAGATAGGAACAAGGGATCTCTTTATGAAATTCTGAGAAAGGTATAAACAAGTCATCATTAATTGCACTTGGAGCCTTTCTAGGTTGATAATTAAAAGTTTTCAAAAATTCTTTTAAAGAGTTAATTAGGCCCCAAATCCTGAGTCAGACAACCCAAAATAGGAATCTCAGTTAACTCTTGATATTCAAGTATTGGTGGTCAGTAGTTCAAAACTGAACAATTAGGTAAACGATGCCTGAGCCGTTTCGTGTTTTGTGTTTTGTTTAGTTTGACACGATCAGGTTTGACGGAAAGAAACGGACTTCACTGTTTTCCCACACCTAGCAACAAAGCTGTGTAAGGGTGCACATTTTTCCTCTCGTGACCCTCAAGAGTCCACGCAAACCTCCCCAAACCTCGAACATCTTTCAGCAACTGCTATTGGGTGACAGGCGGAGGGACGTATCTGATTTGTGAAATTACTCAGCCACATGCACCCTCAGAGGGACAGGTTTGAGGACAAAGCAGTCTTTTCCTCTATCAGAAGACGATTGTTAACAAAGAAACGATAACCCCCCCTCCCCGCCACTCCCACCAAAAAAGAAAGAAAAAAAAGAAACTAGAAAAACCCAGGGGCCATTCCACATGAAGTTACTCTGATTTGGGCCGACATGGCTTCTCAGAAGAGCGCAGGCCAGGTAAATTCAGGGTGGCTGGCTTCTCGGGGTCTGGCAGGGTGAGAGTTTCTGGAGCCGACTTTTTCCGCGGCCGATCTTTGGGGACAGACAAGAATTCTGGGGCATCGGTGGAGAGAGGGGTGGAGGGCGCGCTGGACGGGGCGCTGCGCACCGAGGAAGGCAGCAGGGAGATGCTGGAGATGGAGATGGCAGGCGGGAACACGCCGATTTTCTTGTTGGTGGCTTCCTGAGTAGCTCGTTCGAATTCTCGCACTTGGTCCATTGTCATGTCTTCAGGAGAGACAGAGGGGTGGGGGGAGAAAAAAGCAGCAGTTACTGGCCAGAGGTGGATGGATTCATCTCTGAGCTTAACTTTTAAAGGGACTAGGGACACCCTAGCCTGGAAAATACTACAAGATGACACACTAGGGCTATTCCCTCCTTCCCCCATCCCCCATGGTTATTTTTGTGCCAAGACTAGAACTTGAACTCAGGGCCTTATGATCTTGTGTAGCTTTTCTACTCAAGGCTGGTGCTCTTCTCATGTGAACCATGGCTTCATTTCCAGCTTTTTGCTATTTGAAGAGTCTCATGGGCTTTACTGCCTGGACTGGCATTGAACTGGATCCTCAGATCTCAGTCTCTTTGAGTAGCTAGGATTCTAAGTGTAAGCCAGTGGTGTCTAATTTGCAATGTTTTTCTTAGGTGGGAAAGTAAAAGTGATATTTAAACACCACCATGCAACCATCCAGTGATCATTTCCTTTTCAAAGTCTATTTGTGGTGTGTATGTGTGTGCGTGTGTGTCCTAGGGCTTGAACTCAGGGCCTGGGAGGTGCTTCCCTGAGCTCTTTTGCTCAAGGCTAGCATTCTATCACTCACTCAATAGTGCCATTTCTGGCTCCCCCCCCCCCCCCCCCCTCGCTGGCTAATTAGAAATAAAAGGTTCAGACTTTCCTGCCTGGGCTGGCTTCAGACTATGATCCTTAGATCTCAGTCTCCTGGAGTGTAGCTAGGATTACAGGATGACCCACTAGCATCTGACCACTATTTGCTTTTTTTAGCTAACCAGCTCTTCTCTCAATAACAGCATCTCACTGTTTTTACTATTAGTGACTGCCAGTTTAACTGCTCCCGATAGCCTTTACATTTTTATTTACTGGGAACAAGGAAGCAGGTAACCAAATTATTAAAATAAGCACTGAGTAAAGTTCTGAGTAAAGTCTGATGTTTGTCACCCAAGGATTTCCCCATGTATCTTGCCTTTCAAGTGGTCCATTTTTCACCCCTCCCTTCATGTTTTTAGGTGTTGAAACTTCCTTAGGTGTGTGTGTGTGTGTGTGTGTGTGTGTATGCGTCAGTATTGGGACGTGAACACGGGGTCTTGTGCTCTCCCTTGGCTTTTTCATTCAAGACTGGTGCTCTACCATTTGAATCATTGTTTCTTTATTTTGTCAGTCGTGGAGCTTGAACTCTGGGCTTGAGTGCTGTCCCTCAGCTCTTCAGCTCAAGGGGAGTGCTCTACCACTTGAGCTATGGTGCCACTTCCGGTTTTCTGGTGGTTTATTGGAGATAAGAGTTTCATGGACTTCCCTGCCCGGGCTGGCTTTGAACCACGATCCTCACATCTCAGCCTCCTGAGTGGCTAGGATTATAGGCGTGAGCCACCGGCACCTGGCTTGAATCATTGTTTCACTGCTGGCCTTTTGGCAGTTAATTGGAGATATGAGTCTCACAGACTCTCCTGCCTAGGCTGGCTTCAAATCATAAGCCTCAGATCTCAGCCTCCTGAGTAGAAAGGATTACAGGCATTAGCCACTGGCCCAGCCTCCATCATTAGGTTTTATAATATTTAACACGTGAAAGAATTCCTTTAGATAATTTTTAAAATTCCCCCAAAAGGTAAGGATTTCACAAAGGAATTTTTTCTATGTTGATCCAAATTTCAGAATATGTTAAGAAAAAAAAATGTACCTGTGAACTTACCACTTTCAAAAAAAGACTAAGACTAGTAAAACTTAAGTTTTTGGGAAAAAGGCAAAGTTAAGACTCTAAGAAAACCTTCAATGAATTAAGCTCTAGATGTGTTTTTTGCTGTAAGAAATGGATAGCCTCTTTGAAAAATTACTTTCTGCAGTCTGCATACATGGTTATACCCAAAGCATCCAGCAGGGGGCAGAAATAATCCAAAGCACAACATTTTGCTTTTCCACTCCCAGTGTCTCTTTAAGTCTTCTTTTCAATCGAGGGGTTGCAAAACCCCTCGATTGAAAAGAAGGCTGTAATTTCCTTATTGCTGTGTTCACGAATGTTAATTTTGCACACGTCCAATCTGATTCATCCCAGTTCAGGTTGATGAGTGAAATTTCACTGTGCAACCATGTGGCTTTAATTTGGGATGCACAGCAGCTTCTTGGTTTTAATTGTTTCTCGTTATGATAGAGAAGAAAGACTGTGGAAAAAGAAACGATCCCCAATTTCACAGAACTCCAAAGAATAAGGAAAATGTCAAAAGCATTCCAAAGAACCATTTGTGGAACTTTGTGGGGGGGAGGGCGGGCACCGGTGGCATCTGTTAAAGTCATGGAACAATCATGACCAGTCGCCAGAGAATGCATGGTGTGTGTGTGTGTGTGTGTGTGTGTGTGTGTGTGTGTGTGAGATAGTCAAACTGAAAGAAAATCATGCAAATGGCCTTCTGCTATTTCTCAGGGACTTTTCTGCCTGGGCTGGTTTTGAACGTTGATCTTCAGATCTCAGCCTCCTAAGTAGCTAGGATGACAGGGATGAGCCACCAGCAGGCACACCCTCCTACAAACATTTTGTTTTTATCTTTTGAGCAGGGAGGGAGGAGAGGCATGTCTCAGGGATCAGGCTGGCCTCACATGCAGCTACTGCATGCAAGCAGGCAGGGAAAGGAAGACCTCCAGACCCCATGCGGCCTCAGAGACATTCAAGGTGCATGCATCCCACGGCAGCGCCACGTACTTGCAGGATACATTCCAAAGACATGCACTTAACACTTAGCTGAAAATTTCCAAAGTGCTACCAGGTCTTCCCAACCCTTAGCATCCAAAAGCCATCACTTGATTTTGTGTCACTACATTCTTTTTGAATTTTCTCTAAAATCACACAAAGTATCAGCTCATGGTTTCACAACTTTTTTTTTTTTTTTGTTGGTTGTGGGGCTTGAACTCTGGGACTGGGCGCTGTCCCTCAGCTCTTCAGCTCAAGGCCAATGCTCTACCACTTGAGCCACAGCGCCACTTTCAGTTTTCTGGAGACCAGAGTCTCATGGACTTTTCTGCCCGGGCTGGCTTTGAATTGCAATCCTTCAGATCTCAGCCTCCTGAGTAGCTAGGATTACAGGCATGAGCCACTGGCGCTTAAAAACAAAACACACAGAAAAAACAACAACAAAAACCCTAGTGATTATTCCAAAGCCTGGGCTCCTACATACAAGAACTCCAGCTGGGGCTGAAGATCCATAGAAATGATTTGTTGATTATGTTTTCCTCTGCTCATGGTATCTCCTCTTCATTCGCATAAATGATTGAGAGGTGACTCTGCTTTCAATGGTGGACTACATAGTACAGTCAGCTCTCTGCATCCACCGTGTGACTGACTCCGGAGAGACCCACGTCCTAGCTCATCACCCTTTCCCCGCCCAGTCTGTGAGCCTGCAGACTGCAGATTACCCTACCAGCTTACCCGGAGTCAAAAGGAACTGATTGGCTAACACAGCTATGGGAGAGAAAGCATTTTAACGCAAGTGGAAAGAAACCTAAAATAGCAGATCAGCCAGAAGCCCGCCCTTGAATGAATAAAGTGAGTGTTAAGTATGTTTTGAAAAGTTCCTGACATGTTGTTCTACTTTACATATGATATCCAGCTTTGCTCTTTTATGGTTGGTGAGAGTCATTTTTTTTTTCTTTCTGTACTAGTACCACAAAATGTCTCCATCTCTGTTCTGAGCTTTATAACGAGAGAGAGAGAGAGAGAGAGAGAGAGAGAGAGAGAGAGAGAGAGAGAGAGAGTGCACATCCAATTCAAGTAGCTTTAAAGAATCGATCTGTCTGGCAGAGACAGGACATAGGATTTGTCTAGACTCAGCTCAGCACCTTTATCAATGGCCTGTGGTGGGCACTGCCATGATTTCGTGGCAGGCTGGGAGGGAGCATTTGTGGTATTTCAGAGATCACTGCACTGTGTTTGTTTTGCAGGGGGTGGGCGACATGTTTGAATAATTCTACATACACTTGTTTGGGCATGATTCTCTATGTCATCCACAGTGGAGGAATGCGGATTGCAAACTTTTATGTTGGTTTGTTCATGCATGTTTTTCTCGTATTCCCGAACATCATCCATTGTCATATCTGAAAGAGGTCAAGACGTTGGCAACTTCCGTTATTCAAGACAGACTTTCAATGGGGGGGGAGGGGGCAGAGATTTAAGGGGAGCATGGTTGCTTAGCAGTGGCCAAAGAGGTTAGGGGGTGGGCAGAGAAAAAGAAAAAGCAGGGAACGGACTAACTTTATGAAGAATACATCATAAAGTTAGCTGAATCAGCCAAAGAGGGAGTGAGGGTAAGGAAGTTAAGTCAAAAGGAGACTTAGAACTGAGGACAGATTATTTAGCTGTGATTTCTGGTTGAACATGAGCTCAGTGGTAGAAGTATTAGCGTGTGGGCAGAGCATAGGCTGAGATCTACTAAAGCTTTCTTAGAAGATCCCTTTGGGGACAGAGGATCGGGTTTGTTTGAGCCAATACTTACCTTCAAAATACCTTTCTCAAAGGGCTGTGGAGTCTTTAATGCATTCAACGATAGGAAGGAAACGTGCATTACTACCACAGGAGACTGGATGCAAGGGAGGGATAAGTGAAACTTGAGGCAATTCTCACACAGACACGTGTTTTTGTTTTGTTCTTCCCCCTACAACACTGGGTGTCAGGGAGGGCAAGTCTACACGGAGAGCTTCAAGTCTAGCCTAACAGCTTGGTCATGGCTGACACTATTTCCACCCATGCTCATCTATAAATAAAATGTCACATGACATGCATTTTGGCCCCAGTCTGCAGTTTTTGTTTTTTTTTTTCCTTCAGTATTGCAGGATAATGATCCCTTAATCTGGCGGTTCTCAAGAAGAGAGTGTTGTGACATCCCCAGGAGTTCAAACTGCAGCCCTGCATCTATTCAGAGACACCCCCTCACCCCCAGCAAGGAATTGTTTGATTGACAGAATGATCGATCAAAATGTCAGCAATGATCAGGTTGAGAAACCTCATCTTATTCAAACTGATCAGAAAAATATAAACAAGGAAGCTGGGTGTGGGGGTACATGCCTTCAATCCCACCACTTAGGAGGCTGAGGTAAGAGGACTGGAAGTTCAAGTCCAGCCTGAGCTACCTAAATCTTGGGCTCAAAAACAAAGCCCCCAACCTACCCTCAAGGCAAACAAGGAACCCAGCTTGTCTTTAGTATGAGAATGTATAAAACAACAATTAGTTTCACTTTAAATGGTTCCTTCATTTTACTCCCCATCCCTTGAATCCACTCCAAATATATATATATATATTTGTGTGTGTGTGTTTGTCTCTGTGTGTGTGTACACCAGTCTGAGGCTGAACTCAGGGTCTGAGCAGTGTCCCTGAGCTTTTACATTCAAGGCTAGTGCTCTATCCCTTGAGCCACAGTTCCACTTTTGGCTTTTTTGGGGGGGATTAACTCGAGATAAGAGTCTCACGGACTTTAATGCTGGGGCTGGCTTTGAACTGTGATCCTCAAATCTCAGCCTCCTGTGAAGCAGGATTATAGGCGTGAGCCACTGACACCGAGCTCACTCCTTATACTGTTTTGTCAGCAATTTCCACAGATGAGCATTCTTCTATTGCTGTCATGGGAGGATTTAATGTCCTGTCTCTTTACAAAGAAAAGTATTCTGGGCACTTGCAAACTACCACTCTGATCTTTGCCTATACTGGGGCTTGAACTCTCCCTTAGCTTTTTTTTTGCTCAAGGATGGCATTCTACCATTTATTTTTACTTTAAGAACTCCAGCTCTACTTTTGGCTATTTACTGGTTAACTGGAAATAAGAATCTCACAGACTTTGCTGCTCAGGCTGGCTTTGAACCTCAATCTTCCAGTTTGCAGCCTCCTGCATAGCTAGGATTACAGGCAGGAGCTACCAATCCTGGCTCTTAGGATTTTCCCTTAGGTCTTTTCTGTATCCTGTGGTTTGATGTCTTTTTATATCAATCCATGTGTCATATGAGATTGGCTTCATTTTCCAAAGGGCAGACATGTCAGAGCTTATGATTTAATTCAATACGGTCTGGGGTTTAGATGGAATATAGGTCTACGCCCAGGCCTAGGTGATTCTATTGAGCTCATGATCCACTCTCGCCTGGGCACCATCCATCAAACACGCTGTCCCAATGCAGTATGAGAACAAAGAATGCTAAGCAGCAATCTGGCCAAGCAAAGAGCATGCTTTCATTTTTAGAGAACAGAGGTGAAGGAAAAGCAATAAAGAAATGCTACTTTATGCTTACCACCAACACATTGTAGTAAACAACAACAACAACACATTATGCAATGTAATCCCCTTAATTTCAACGGCTGGTTAACCAAACTTCTTAAGCATAGATACACAGAGCATGAAGATGAAGGTCACTTTTAACTAAAAGTTTAACATTTGTACAAGTTGAAATACATACCTTTCGACACTTCATTTAGAAAATCAAAACTAAAAGGGAACTTTTTTCTCTGCTCTAATGAACCCCAACAGAAATCATTCTTGGGTGTTAATTAGATCAAGCTTAACAGAGATAATTTAGCATGACCTCTAGGCTTTCAAAGATTCTATCACAATCTATCATGATGTATCAATTTTATGTTGTCAAAAAAACAAGGATGAATATTGCTGCCTTATTTATTTATTTTGTCTGAGACTGGTAGCTGACACTTTCACTCATTGGCTGGGACACTACCCACTGAGCCTCCAACTCTTGCCTTTTTCATAACAGTGAAAAATGGAAAGCTACTTGAGAGACTGATAGTATTACACAATTGTCAACAGTGAAGTTGAGGAATATTTACTACTACTATAGAAAGAGATTTTTGAATACTGTTGATAAAAATCTTAAAACAAAAAAATCAGACATATTACATAGTGTATTATCTACATTTAAAAAACAATGCAAGTAAATATTTCAAAATGCTCAGTGATTTTTTTTTTTTGGTAGAGATGGGCTTATAGAAAATGTTCATTCCCTTTCTGGTTTGTATATTGGTATTTCCTACATTTTCTATACAAAATAAAAAAAGAACATTATTTGCAAATCTATTCTTATGGGTCACAAGATGAATACCATTCATTTGGAATTGGCAAAGAGAAGATACACTTTTCTAGAATTTTTGGCCACTCTAGAAACATAATTGTTATATTTGATTGTTTTTCAGCAGTAGTGGAGTTTGAACTCAGGGTCTTGTGCCTTCTAAGGAAGCATTTTTTTTTTGGGGGTGGGAGGGTCCAGTCGTGGGGCCTGAACTCTGGGCCTGGGCACTGTCCCTCAGCTCTTCAGCTCAAGGCTAGCGCTCTACCCCTTGAGCCACAGCGCCACTTCCAGCTTTTTTCTTTTTGCTTATGTGGTGCTGAGGAATCAAACCCAGGGCCTCAGGCATGCAAGGCAAGCGCTCTACCACTGAGCTACCTTCCCAGCCCCTAAGGAAGCATTCTACTACTTGAACCATTCTTCCAGGTCTTTCTATTTTATTTTTCGAGCAAGCTTGTAGGGTTTTGTTTGGTGTTATTCATGATTGGTGGGGCTACTGCTACAATCTTGGTACTTATGCTTCCTATGTAGTTGGGACGAGATAACAGGTAAGCACCTAGCTTTTTTTTTTTTTTTAATTGAGATGGAGTCTCCATAATTTTTTCTCAGGCTGGTCTCAAGCTTTGATTCTCCCAATATCCACCTTCCAAATAGCTGCGATCATCTAGGTGTGAACCATGGAAACTTGCTGTTATTATTTTTCTCTCCGAAGGGTTGAACAAAGTTTCAGGCCTGGGTTTGTAGCTCAGCAGTAGAGCACTTGCCTAGAATGTGTGAAGGCCTTGTTCAATCTCCAGCTCCTCTTCCAAACAAACAAATACAAACAAGAAACAAAATGTTTACAAAATCTCTTCTTCTAAAAGGAAAACACAATCCCAATTAGACTGCATAAGAATGCATGTTTTTGGCTCAGCCATTTCTCAAACAGTTGATCATAATTTCTTTGGTCTGGGTGGATAGGAAAGGAAAATAGGATTGTGTAAATCCTGAATTCTCCCCACACACCATCAATGGAAATCATTTCTATATTCCTCGGGAGTGTATGGAACTCCTCAAGTGAAATGGACCCTGTCCAGCTCACCAGACCAAATGATGGGCATCTTGCTTTTGTTTTTTTGTCAGTTGTGGGGCTTGAACTCTGGGCCTGGGTACTGTCCTTGAGCTCTTCAGCTCAAGGCGAGCACTCTACCACTTGAGCCATTGCACCACTTCTGTTTTTCTGGTGGTTTATTGGAGATTAGAGTCGCACGGATTTTCCTGCCCGGGCTGCCTTTGAACCGCAGTCCTCAGATCCCAGCCTACTAAGTAGCTAGGATTATAGGTGGGAGCCACCAGTGCTTGGCACATCTTGCTTTTACAATGTATATAACCTTGAAAAACAAGAATGAATCAATGTTTAGGAAACCCCATCACGCGTACCCAATAATAGAAACTACTTTCAAAGATGATTCATTTTCATTACTGATTGATTTTCAATGGTCACAGTAACGTCCAGCAATTCAGGTTCAGTCTTGTTTGCTTGTAGCAAACAGATGTTTATATGTGTCAAACTTTTTTTTTGGTGGTGCCAGTCCTGGGGTGTGCACTAAGGTTCTGAGTGCTGTGTCTTAGTGTTTTTGCTCAAGGCTAGTGCTCTACCACTTGGGCCACAGCTTCACTCCTGGATTTTTTTTTGGGGGGGGGGGAAGGAGAGAAGTTAATTGGAGATAAGAGCCTCACAGACTTCCTGTCCTGGCTAGCATTGAACAGTGATCCTCAGATTTCAGTCTATGAGTGGTTAGGATTACAGGCATGAGCCACTAGTGCCTGACTCCTTGTCCTCAAGAGAACATTTGTTTCCTTCTCTTTCTTGTCCTCCTTCAGGTGAGGGTGAGCAGATCCTAATTTTGTACCCCAGGACATGAAGATACTGCAAGGGCTCTGCATGGAACCTTCTTCTCTGCTAGGTGACTGGGCCGGGATTAGAACCCCTGCCTTTGCCACCAGCTCAGCCTTAGCAAAGACACCTTGGTCCTAGGGGATCAATGAATTGAAACTT